CGGTTAAGCGAATGAGTCAAAGCAGTGGATGTGAATGTATACATCACATTTTTTGCCCAACTGACGGACTGACTACTTGCTTTGCGTGAGTTAGTCCACTGATGATGGGTGTTTTTATGCATGGCTTTTTTGGTATGCCGTAAAAATATTTTCCTAGAATAGGAAAGTAGATAGTAGCTCGATGGTATCGTGTTATCCTTCGACCAAAATGTTTGCTACTTAGCATAACATCAGCATTTAAAGCAGGTGCCACACATCTACCAGCGATTGAATGGCTTTTAACAGCTCTTTCGAATACACTTTTAATCCTTTATTTTATACACACAGAGGATAATGTGAAGTTTTTTTTCCTGTTCGCACAACTTTTACTTCATTTTATGCTATCTACCGTTTGTATCTATGAAACTGGGTTTATGGGTGTATGTGTGTGTGTGTAAGTCTTCATGTGATTATAACAACTTTAAATTACAAACTTTAAAATAACACACACACTCTCACACAAAAAAAAATCGTTTTAAAATCTGTGGAAAACTTTTTCTCACTAATGCACACACACACACTCACATATTTATTCATTTGAGAGTGTGTGTGTTTCAGTTTTAGCTAAGCAGAAGAAAAGTTTTAAACTCGTTGTCGACCAAAATAAAAAGTAAGAAAGCGGTAAAAATATAAAATGCATTAAAAGGCATTAAGTAGGACATTTTTTTAAACAACTCTAAAACTATTTTGAGTTTGCAGTAAATTGCGCACGTGTTTCCAGAGAAATTTAAGGAAGATGATTTCAATAGAAGTATCAAATGTGTAAGTAAGCAAATTAAAGTCCTTATAAATATCTAAAAATTAGAAAAAAATAGAAAATCCACAAAATTCGGAAAAACATGAGCATTTATTAATCCTTTTTGGCAGAGATGTTTATCGCCCTCTGAAAACTCAAATTGCCAAATTATAGGTACTTCGAAAAGGCTGAAAAAGCCAATTAGTTTGATGTGTTATAATCAGGGATGGTCCGTGTGACGAATTTTTAGGTTTTCGACTGTCAAAAAGGTGTAAACGTCGAAAACGTCATATACCTGTATAAAATGTAATAAATGTAGTAAACGTCATTTATTTCAATATTATCAGCATACACAGTTATTTTCAAGAATATATATTATTTTTACATATATCTGACTATTCCATACAAGAACTGATAAAAAAATTTAAATTTTTTGAGAAGAAAATTTTGAAATTTTATATTAATTTGAATAAAGCATGCGTAATTTCCAAATTGATTAATGGAAATAGCTATTTTGTCAGAAACCTAATGGATTTGGGTAGGTTTCCGACGTTTCTGACGTATGTATTATACGTCGGAAATGTATGTCATTTACGTCACTGATTCTGATAGGCCATCTCTGGTTATAATGGGAAAGAGCTCACCTCATGGTTGAGAATATAAAACAAATAGGCTTATCCTGTTTGTCTTTTTGGATGCTTTTTCTGACTGAGGCGAAAAATAATTCTAATATATTTAAGTAAATTAAAATATTTAATTTAATCTCCCCACACAATCTGTCATTAATTTCATCAATCTTATGTTTTATAGCTATTTTGAATGCATTAGGCCCGCCATTTCATCGACAATGTTTCAACAGTTATGGATTGCCGCCTTTACTCTCTGCTTGACAGCCATCAATTTGATGGCTTTCGAGCGGACATTTGCTGAGAAAATATTCTCTGTTGTCTATTTGGTTGTGATACTCATTCAGATTTTCCCCGCCTGTTTGTGTGTGACTTTTATGATGTCCGAAACTTCAAATTTGACAACGGCCATGTACAATTGCAATTGGATTGAACAGAATCACAACTTTCGACGAATGTTAATTATTTTTATGCAACGTTCACAGAAAATCAATGTCATCTATGCCGGAGGCTTGGCACCGGTTACATTGCAAACGTTTTTATCGGTGAGTGAAATGACAGAGAAGTTTTAAATAGTTTTTTTTAATGTTTTGTTTTTGTTTTTTTTATTTTTCAGATTATTAAGTTTTCGTTTTCGATGTACACCATATTGAGTCAGATGAAAATATAATGAGTTTGTTTTTCACTTCTAAGTTATCGTATTAAGTGTTACACATATTAAAATCTGTATATTTACTTTAATGCAAAATATAACAAATTCACATTTAATTTGTATCTTTCTTTATGTCAAAGTTTTAATAAATCAATCCAGTTTAGTTTTAATAAATCAATCCAGAGTTGGGAAATAACGCTCAAATACACAAGCGACATGACATAAAAAATTTGATCGAATCCAAAAGATGCAACCTTAAATTCTTACCGCTTTCTCCAATGCTAAATCCAATTGAAAATTCATTTTCAAAAATAAAATTATGTGCAAGAGCTGAGCTGTGTGACGTTTCAATGGAACATAACATTGTTGATGTAATCGAGCGAAGTATTCAAAAGCTTACTCGGCAAGATTGTTCTAACTACGTTATGGACATGGTTTTGAAAATCCCACAAGCTGCAAGTCGGGAACCCCTTCATTAAGATAAGCAGTTACCTTATCATCAACAATTTATTAAGTCAAATATGTATTTCGCATTTAGGACCGGGTATTCAATTCTTGTTCTTAAATATTTATTTATTAAAATGTCAAGAAATACCCCAGTTTGTATTACTATTTATTTAGTTTTATGTTAAGATATTAAATGAAATCACACCGAATTAAAGAATATTTATGTTAATTACATAGCCATACAACTATATTTGATTTAATTTTCAAATATTGGTTTAAAATTACTGCAAATATTATATTTCCTTAGATAAGAATAAAGGTTTCATTTAATTTGGAAAAAGTTTCATTCTATTTGTAAAAGGTTTCATTTCAATTGGAAAAGGTTGCATTTAATTTGGAAAAGGTTTCATTTAATTTGGAAAAGTTTTCATTTAATTTGTAAAAGGTTTCATTTAATCTGGAAATGCTATATATTGAACATATATAGCTAGAATCTTGAAATTTTATATGAAATAAAGGTATAGAAAGGTTGTAATACAGGATTAAGGTAACTTTAAAAAATCGTACTTATGTGTACAAAAAGTACTAAATGGTACTAAATTTGGTGCAAGTTGGATTTAGGTGAACAGATAGAGCTGGAGTCTTCAAATTGAGAATTAAAATGACTGTTGGAGTGTAGGATTGAGGTAGTTTAAGAAATTCGTACGAAAAGTTCTATATGGTACTAAATTTAGTACAGTTTGGATTTTGCTTGAATGGATAGAGCTGAAAACCTGAAATTTGGAAGTAAGATAACTGTTGAAATTCGTATTTATGTGTACGAAAAGCACTAAACGGAACTAAATTTGGTACAATGTGGATTTGCGTGAATGGAGATATCTGGAAACCTAAAATTTGGAATAGCATAGTACTTATGTGTACTAAATGGTTCTATATTTGGTACAACTTAATTATTTGTGAACGGATAGAGCTGGACTCCAAAATTTTCGAATTAAAATTACTGTTTGAGTATAGAAAACCAGTGAGGAAAGTAGTGAAGTCGGACGGGGCCGACTATATGATACCCTTCAACACTATGGGTATATTAAACAGGACTATTAGCATGAAATTGGATGAAATAAAATATGTGATATTTATCTAAATGTGAATCTACCTAGATCTATCCATAAAGTATGTAAATCGACTTCAAACAAATATAAATAGGTCATCCGTTGGGCTATGTCTGTACTTCTAGAAAACGCAACTATATAATTTTATGCTTAATTTTGTACGATGTGCAAACGTTGATGTCAATCTGACTAACATGAGGAGTTTGATGCCCAATTTACTTGAAATATATATGGATGCCCAATCGTGCGTCAATTACTTAAAATCAATCTATAATAAAAGGGGCTATATCTATCTAAATCTGGACCGATTTTCAAGAAACTTGGCAGACATCATTTTAGGCTCAATTCAGTACGTTATGCCAAACTTCGTGCAAATCGAAAGATATATAGGGACTTTGGGCACCATTTACGTGAAATCGGGCGAAACTATATATGGGAGCTATATCTAAATCTGGACCGATTTTTACGAAACCTGGCAGACATCACTCTAGGCTTAATTCAGTACGTTATGCCAAATTTCGTGCAAATCAAAAGATATATAGGGACTTTGGGGTACCATTTACATGAAATCGGACGAAACTATGTAAGGGAGCTATATCTAAATCTGGACCGATTTTTACGAAACTTGGCACACATCATTCTAGACCTAAATGATTTGGCTGTAGCAAATTTCGTGCAAATCGAAAGATATGTAGGGACCGTTTACATTAAATCTGTTAAATATATATATATATATATATATATATGTATATATGTATATATGGGAGCTATATCTAAATCTGAACCGATTTTTCCCAATTTCAATAGGGTTCGTCCTTGGGCCGAATAAGTGACCTATGCCAAATTTCATCCAATTCGGATCATAAATGCGACCTGTACTTTGTTTACAATTTAACATGGACAGACAGACGGACGGACGGACATGCATAAATCGACTTAGAAAGTGATTCGATGTATATTCTCAAAAGGAACCATGGGTCTATCTCGATTACTTTTGCCTTTTACAAACATATGCACAAAGACATAATACCCTGTACCACAGTGTGGTGAAGGGTATAAAAAGTACTAACTGGTACCAAATGGTTTACAAATTGTTGAACAATTGTGTGAACGGATAGGGCTGAGATCCTGAAATTATGAATTAATATAACAGTTTGAATGCAGGATTGAGATATGTCGGTAGTTTTGAAAATTCGTAATACATGTACTAAATGGTACTAAATTTGGTACAATTTAGATTTGAATGAACGGATATAGATGGAAAACTTAAAATTGGAATGAAAAATTACAGATTTAAGGCAGTATTGGAATTACGTACTTATGGATACGAGAAGCACAAAATGGTACTAAATGTGGTACAATTCGTTTTGTGTGAGCGGGAATCATAAAATTTGGAATTAAAATTAAGGATTGGATTGTGGGATGAGACATGGATTTAGTTTTAAAAATGCGTAATTATGTGTACTAAATGGTACTACGTTTAGTACAATTTAGATTTGAGTAAAAGTATAGAGATGGAAAACGTATATTTAAAAACCAGTAAGGAAAGTATTAAAGTAGGACTGTGCCGACTATAGGATACCCTTCACCACGTTGGGTATATTCTACATATGTATCCGAAAAGACGTTGCCTTTTTGAAGGAATTTTGACATGAAATTGAACGAACTTAAATATGTGATTTTTATGTCTTTCGGGAACCTATGCTAAATTTCATTTCATTTGGGCAAGTTTGGAGTCGTTTGCGCACAGTGGGACAGATTTGTGTAAATCGATTTTAAGCCAACTTGACACACTCTATTCGGTATGCTGCCCTGTTTAAAATTTCATTTTAATTTTCTGTTGTCTAAAAAGGCATTTTAAGGCCTTTAAACGCTTCTAACGCCTAAAAAACGCATTTTAATTTTCTGTTGTTTAAAAAGGCATTTTAAGGCCTTTAAACGCTTCTAACGCCTTAAAAACGCATTTTAATTTTCTGTGGTCTAAAAAGGCATTTTAAGGCCTTTAAACGCTTCTAACGCCTAAAAAACGCATTTTAATTTTCTGTTGTCTAAAAAGGCATTTTAAGGCCTTTAAACGCTTCTAACGCCTAAAAAACGCATTTTAATTTTCTGTTGTCTAAAAAGGCATTTTAAGGCCTTTAAACGCTTCTAACGCCTAAAAAACGCATTTTAATTTTCTGTGGTCTAAAAAGGCATTTAAACGCGTCTAACGCCTAGAAAACGCATTTTAATTTTCTGTGGTCTAAAAAGGCATGTTAAGGTCTTTAAACGCTTCTAACGCATTTTAATTTTCTGCCTTTTAAAAACGCAAAAAACACATTTTGATTTTCTGTGGTCTGCCTAAGGCAAAACGCTTTAATTTTCTGTGGTCTAAAAAGGCATTTTAAGGCCTTTAAACGCTTCTAACGCCTAAAAAACGCATTTTAATTTTCTGTTGTCTAAAAAGGCATTTTAAGGCCTTTAAACGCTTCTAACGCCTAAAAAACGCATTTTAATTTTCTGTTGTCTAAAAAGGCATTTTAAGGCCTTTAAACGCTTCTAACGCCTAAAAAACGCATTTTAATTTTCTGTTTTTTAAAAGGGCATTTTAAGGCCTTTAAACGCTTCTAACGCCTAAAAACGCATTTTAATTTTCTGTGGTCTAAAAAGGCATTTTAAGGCCTTTAAACGCTTCTAACGCCTAAAAAACACAAAAAGTTTTAATTTTCTGTGGTTTAAAAAGGCATTTTAAGGCCTTTAAACGCTTCTAACGCCTAAAAAACGCATTTTAATTTTCTGTGGTCTAAAAAGGCATTTTAAGGCCTTTAAACGCTTCTAACGCCTAAAAAACGCATTTTAATTTTCTGTGGTCTAAAAAGGCATTTTAACATTTTAAGGCATTTAAACGCTTCTAACGCCTAAAAAACGCATTTTAATTTTCTGTGGTCTAAAAAGGCATTTTAAGGCATTTAAACGCTTCTAACGCCTAAAAACGCATTTTAATTTTCTGTTGTCTAAAAAGGCATTTTAAGGCCTTTAAACGCTTCTAACGCCTAGAAAACGCATTTTAATTTTCTGTGGTCTAAAAAGGCATTTTAAGGCCTTTAAACGC